TATGAGTGCGATCATGTGATACTTATCTTTCTCTGACTGACTTATTTCACTTAGCATGATACTCTCCATGTCCCTCCATGCTATCTCAAAGGGTAAGAGATTCTTCTTTTCTACTGCAGCATAGTATTCCATGGTATAAATATACCACAGCTTTTTTATCCACTCATCTACTGATGGGCACTTGGGCTGTTTCAAGATCTTAACTATTGTAAATTGTGCTGCTATGAACATGAGGGTGCATACAACTTTTCTGACTGGTGCTTCGGGTTTCTTTGGATAAGTAGAAGTGGGATTACTGGGTCAAATGGAAGTTCCATTTTTAGTTTTTTGAGGAAACTCCATACTGTCTTCTACAGTGGCTGCACCAGTCTGCATTCCCACCAGCAGTGCACGAGGGTTCCTTGTTCTCCGCATCCTCGCCCACACCTGTCGTTTGTTGATTTGTTGATGATAGCCATTCTGACAGGTGTGAGATGGTACCTCATTGTTGTTTTGATTTGCATCTCTCTGATGATCAGTGACTTTGAGCATTTTTTCATATGTCTCTTGGCCTTCTGTATGTCCTCTTTGAAGAAGTGTCTATTTAGGTCCTTTGCCCATTTTTTAATTGGGTTGTTTGTCTTCCTTTTGTTAAATTGTATGAGTTCCTTATATATTTTGGATATTAACCCTTTATCAGATATATAATTGCCAAATATGTTCTCCCATACAGTGGGCTCTCTTTTCGTTTTGTTGATGGTTTCTTTTGCTGTGCAGAAACTTTTTATTTTGATGTAGTCCCTGATTCCGTTTTAACCCTTCTTATATACAGTATATGTTTATTGTACTGTTTAATCTATATAAATACTTTAAAAACAAAAAAGACATGAAATGTCAATGAAAATATAACATAAAGGAAAAGAAATGTACAGTAAAAAATAAAACTTAACAATAATTATAAGTAGCAACAAAAGCAAAAATACAAAAATATTCATAACACAATATCCTGAGATTTTAGCAGTGGTAACCTGACTCATATTCACACATTCTCTCCTTTGTCACCTGAAATGTGTGACTGATCATACAGGTATCAGCATGAAAGGGTTGTCAGGTTCAGAAGCAAATTGTTCGAAATGGGCGTCGTTTGAGAAACGAAGTTCCACTGTATTTTCTATAGGGAGTGGGGAAGCCATCAAAAGAGGGATACTCATAACCAGATTTTTATTTCAGGAAAAATTCCCTGGTAACAGTAAGAAGAGGGGATTAGAGTTGAGGCTTTTGTAGTAGAGTCTGAGATCAGTAAGGCCTGAGCTAGGACAGTTGTGATAATAAAGTGGAGATGTTGAAGAGAATTTTTAGAGGATTAATTAGGACTTGATGCCCATTTGTACAAAGTATAAGATAATCTAAGCAATGTTTCCTGATTGGTCTAATTACTTTCACTTGCTACCACTGTAACTTTTGCCTGCTGTCACATAGTCTCCCCCTCTCCCCCACTTAAAATTTAGCTTGCCTAAAGATCATTGCATAATCTCACTTCACTCTGTGCAAAGGCAAGCCTTAAAAATGAGTTCAGCCTCCAAATCCTGTTTTTTCTTTATTAATCTGTTTGAACTCTGTGGCTTATAATGGATGGTGCTTAGTTTAAATGGGTTGTCTAAATTTTTTGTATTTAGAAACTGTGTAACAGTCCTGTATAAAATTATTAGTGTTATTATGATGTGCAGAGTTGCTCCTGTTTTTATTTTTGGCACTGGAAAAGATCGACCTAAAGTTGCTTCAAATTAAATCATAGTTGAAAATCAGAATTGTCCCTGTGCCTTAGTCTTTTGGAAATCTGTCTGTCCTGAGAAATGAGCAGTGTTTTCATGTTCTGAAGCTGATTTGACTCGCAGTGTCAATAGCTAATAGTCTGACCCTTCAAGAGCTTGGAAGAAAATGTATTATCTCTAAAAGGCAAAAAAGGTCAACCACTAAGAATTCGTCTACTATTCAAATTATATCTACTTGTTGTTTGGAGGCCTATGATGGTGCTGACCTATGATGATGCTATACTTCTATATATGGAAAAGGTGGTGAAACTGTTTTTAAAAAATATATTTTTATTGATTTTAGAGGGAGAGGGGGAGAGAGAGAGAGAGAGAGAGAGAGAAACATCAATGATGAGAGAGAATCATTGATTGGCTGCCTCCTGCAACACCCCGCCACTGGGGATCAAACCTGCAACCTGGGCATGTCCCCTTAACCAGAATCGAATCTGGGACTCTTCTGTCTACAGGCTGATGCTCTATCCACTGAGCCAAACCAGCTAGGGCAGTGGTAAAACTTCTTTGACTATTTCCTCATACACTGAAGGCCATACTGCTGCAATTAAGAAAACATATGTTTTTTAAGAAATATCTTTTAATTTTAGAAATCTATGTTAAAATGTGCCACAGCATGTAATTACACTATTGATCTCCCATTTACCAGTTCTTTTGCTTTCTCTTTACTCTTGGTAATTTTTCTTAAATGTCATTCTTTAAGAGCACATCTGTAATTATGGCTTTAGGTCACACACTAAATCCAGTATGAAACTGGATCACAGAAAGGAGAGCAAAGTTATTGTTACAGGGAGACAAATCTGGCACAAGGCCAGTTAACTGAATTGTTGCTAATTGTCAGTTCTCCCCAATAAACTGGTAAACAAGGCTTTCATTATAGCCCCTGTTATACATGTATATGTATGAATCTTAGGGACTCTACATAGCAAAATATATGTTTTTATTTTATTTATTTTTTTAAAAAAATTAAATCTTTATTGTTCAGATTATTAAGACTTTTTAAAGATCATATTTTATTCAAATTCCATTATTGTTTAAATTTTACATTGCATAGGAGAGAAGTGTGTGTGGCAGTGGAAATGAGGAAAAACAGTGTTTTCAGTATTTTAGATACAGTCTTGTAGGCACCTAACCATACCTAATGCCATTGCTTGTCTCTTCCAATAAAACCCCTTGAGAATAGCGGTAATGAGATTTAAAAGTATTTAGCCCCTTTGGATTTGAACTCTGGCTCCTTCCTGTAAGTGGATAATCCAAGTATCCAAATGAGCTTTGTAAATCTTTCCAGATTGTTGCTGTACTTCTTTCTCCTAGCCTAAA